CTGCTGAGACACTGAGCAGGACACATCCATCTAGGTTATGAGATCATCCCCAGATGGTCTCATAGCGAGCACAGAGAAAAAAGTGTAATTAAGCAGGGTTTCTTTTGGCTTCTTCTGTGCGTGCACAAGAAAATAATGAACTAAATGTATGTGAAATGTCCACTTCATGGAGCAAGAAGCTCTGCCAGATTTTCAGCATTTTTTTCTCTCCCAGATGCGGCATTTTAAAAGTGGAACGCTGAAAAGCGATGGATCTTTTCAGCTCTGTGGTCTTCTTCACCTGTTCCAGGTGGCAGGCAGGACAGTGCAGATACTTGCAAACTGAACATAGCTTTCATTCCTGTCAGCGCTGGGTCAGCCTCGGTGACTCGCTTGACATGGTCACATTATTAGAACGGATCACAGGAGAATGTTCCCCCACGAGTACTACAAGTGTGTGGTTGCCAAAAGATTTGTTAATGAGGTAGCACTGCCAATAACAGGCAAATCCTGAAAAGCTAGACCAGCAGCCGTTTTAAGGACACAACGGGAGATCCTTCTGAGTGGCATTTGATCCACCTAAAGGCATCCTCCACCTGAAATCTGCCTGGGTGAAATCTGTGTGCCTCTTACCCCTGCACCAAGAAGTTGCAGGTGCAAAAGAGAGGAGTTGACTGAAGAGGCATTTGTGCCACTTTGCCGCACTCCTTCAAGGAGTTTTTGTGTGTTGATAGCATAATGCAAATGGAGAGAGAATACTTAATGAAAGGCAGAGATCTAGCTGCAGAGGTAGTAGCAACTACAATAGGAACAAGGGGATGCTTGGACCAGAGATGACTGGAAGCTCCTTAATTGCACATATCTTTACCAGAAAATGTCCATTTCCAAGAAAGGTTTAATTCAAAAGAGATTGTGTTGGGAAGACTTTTTGAGACTGGTCATCAGATTTTCTTGATGAAGATAATTAATCCATGGGACAGTTTATCTGCTATGGTGTTTTCCTTCTTATTGGTACATGTTAAATTGAGAGCAGTTATTTTCCCTGAAATGATTTTTCTATTTTAAGCAGAATTTAAGCCAGAAAATTCCTTTGACTGGACTTGTACAGAGATCTCACAGCACAACCATCGCGGTCCTTTTTGGTTTTGGACTCCATGATTAGGTAGTCGCTTGGGGCAGGATTGTGCCTGCTGATGCTAAGAGCCCTTCAAGTCATGAGCTAGAGTCTTTCATATCACGTTTGAGTTTCCTCAGTTCTGGGCAGGTGGCTAGTCTGGAATGAGTGAACTCATGTTTTCTGGGGAGAAGAAAGAAAGAAGATGGGCTCTAGTTTCTTTCCAAAGTAAAATCTACCCAATCTTGTAGTGTCAAAAACATTTATAGGGTGGGAAATCCACTAGAAGACCATAAGCATGGCTGTTCCCGGTCAAACCAAAGCTGCTAAATCTGTTCCGTACCTTTGACTGCCCTTGTTGCCTTTCTCTGAGCCTTCTCCAGTGCTGCTGTATCTTTTCAAAGCTGAGGCAAATCAGTCTTATACCCTTTTTAGATGGCTGTGTACAGCTTTTACTCTCTTTATTAGATAGGAAAATGTGTCTCGTATCACATCAGAAAATTAAACCCAAGTCACTCCAGGACTATGCGGGCATGCTCTCTCTTTCCTCATACTCCTCCATTAGGCGGCAACAGCAAGAGTCATCAGACCATACGAAAATCTCCTTGCTTTGAGACAAGAAAAGACCTAAGGGTCCCACTGAAAGCCTGTGGGTGGCTTGCCTCTGTCTGTTCTGGGGTTCAGTATCAAACAATTTAAGATAATGTGGCTTTCCTTTCTTTTGAGGACCGTTCAACCTGATCTGTGCTGTTTGGACATCTTCCCACACAGTTAGCTGTGTTCAGTGCCATACCTATGCTCCCAAACAGGGCTTCTCAAAATGGGTGGGACAGTTTTCTCTCCACTTTTTCAGTTTTCACGTTCTTCATACTCCTGTGGCATGGCAACTTTTCCCTCCAGCTCAGCGTACGTACTGGCCTGAACCTACTGTGCATACCTTGCACATGATTATTTGGAAAACTATATACATGACTCAGCAGCAAAAGCAAAAGGGAACAGTAACAATCTGTTCTCTGTTCTTTTTGTGCTGATTCTATTGAAAATTCATCTTCATGCTTTAAGCACTGAGTTGTAGAGTCCAAAGTGAAAACCTACTCATGATTTTGCCACACCAAATGTCAGATAGGAGTACAGAAAGTGAGAGCAATTTTGTTTCCTGTGTTTCAGAAATACTTACATGGCTTATTGTTTAAGCAATCAAGTATCCCGCATTTAATATAAATACAGCTTCTGTCTTTGTATGCCTCAGGTGCTGTTGCAGCTACTTTCCTTATAACATTTGCTGATGCATATCTGATGCGTGCAGTGGAGGCAGAGGCTGAGCACAGCACAAGCAGTCCCTGACCCCCATTCTCTGTCAGCCCCCACAGAGGCCTATTCATAACTTGATTTCTCCATCCTTTCTTCATTTCAGGTAGATTAGTAGTGATGGTGGTGGTATCATTAGTACTATTGCTAGCATTATTGCACAGATGGGTGGTACCCACGGATTCCTCTTACGGTAATGAACTGTTTGCAGTGAGGACATATCTTTACTGAGCTGAGATACAGTATTGCCGCTATGGTGTCACTAGCTCATCATTTTTAATGCATATTCCTTGTATTCTGGTCAGCAATCTACCCAAGGTCCCACACTGTGACATATAGCTTTCAGACTGTGAAACTGTGGTGAGACATCATCCCCATGTCATAGTGCAGGACTTCACAGAGGATGGCTCTGGGACTTTAGCTCACTGAGTCTGTGTGTCTGTCTGAGAGAACAGAGAATTTTAATTCTGGCCCTTGTGGATGTATTTGCTAATCCCACTGCAGAACTGAATGCATAACATGATAAATAGAACTTCCTCCCTGAGTCCAAATAATTTTCTTTTCCTCTTTGCCTTCCATCCATCTTTTATTTTTTAATTTTTTAAATCTTCTTTGGTCTGCATAATTCCCCTTACCCATAGCCCTAACTTCTGAGCATAGTAAGCAACTCGTTAGACCTGCTGACTACAGGAATCCAACAAACGACTGAAGGTCTCCCCTTTGCATAGCTTAGTAATAGCAGTGGTAGTAGCAGCAATAACATGTAATTAATGTAGTGGAAATCTAGAGAGGACAGAGAAATTAGTATGTGCATACAACCACTAGAGAGAGAGGAGTACTGGCACGAGCTGAGAGGCATATGCAGGCTTTGCCACCGTTCTTGAATAAAAGTACCTGTCGGGTATGGGAGGGTAAATGTAAGCTGTATTTACAGCTTTCACATTACTTTCTCCTTCTTTTCCTTCATATTCTATTGCTTTTAGTTTAGTACCTTGCACATTTTGATAAATGAAGGTCATGAATTCACATGGGGCTGTGAATTATTCCTTTATGGAGACCAACAGGAATCAGGACTAATCTCCCTGCTGGATCCAGACAGCATGAGCTGTTCAAACCAAACCAGACAAACAAACAAGCAAACAAACAGGGCATGAAGCTATGGGGAGCTAAAACTATGCAGTGAGTTTATGTCCCTTAATTTACATACCCTTGCTTTGTAACATTGACGGAGACATTTAAGCCATCCTGAGCACCCCTTGACAGACACATTTATACCAACTAGAAAGAAACCTGCGGGAATCAGTGAGATCTTGCAAGTTTACTATCTAGCAAACTCGGCAGCTGCAAAGATAATCTGTCCCCTGCAGATGTGACAATTAAAATGAGGATTTGTGGAGGA